TCTACATTTAATCTATATTTGACCCTAATTCATATATATATATATATATATATATATATATATATATATATATATATATATATATATATATAAGAACAACAATATCAATGGAGTGTACTATACCAACTTGTCGAGGAAGTTACGAACGGCTATCACACACAGACGCCCATGAAAAAGGAAGAAATGTGACTTCTTTCTTGGTTTCAGTGGCTGCTGGGCGCGACTATAGCTTTGAACTGGTTGATTACCCTCAATATTCTCCTGATTTGACTATCATCTGTTCCCCAACATGAGACAACATTTAGCTATGAACCAATATTGCTGTGACGTCATATCCGTTTTTGGTGAGATTTTTGTCCAATAGGATGAAGATTATTATTTGAAGAGAAAGATGCCCGAAGTTTACATTGAAAGAAACAATGCAGCTATTAATAAGAAGTATTAAAATTAATGCAAGCAATATTTAACAACTCTAGTATCAATCATTCCTTCATAGATAGCCTATGAAATTTTCAGACCATCATCGTATGTATGTGTGTATGAATTTTAACTCATAAACAGCCTCCAAAAAACAGCTCTCATGCTGCAACCTGCATCCATGCATCCCGATGTCGTAAACAGGTAGAAGTCGTAGATACGCTGGTCTACCTTGGCTTTAAATTATCCAGATCCAACACACTTGATGAAGAGATATATTATAGATCCTCGAAGGTATGTAATGCATTTGATAAACTTGAGTCAAGGCTTTGGTCATAATCAGGTATAAAAGCAACAAAAAAAGTCGAAGTGTATCATGCGTGAAAGATAACAACCATGTTGAGTAGACAAAATAAAATATTCAATATACAAAGCACGACTCAAAATTTCGCATATATATATATATATATATATATATATATATATATATATATATGATGAAAGCTCATGTGAGTCGAAAGCTTAGATCGAGGAACAGCAAAATAAAAAAAAAATATCCATATGTTGGACAGGTTTTGTCTTTAATTCTCTCAAAGTTAAAGCAACTATACGAAGCTTAGAACAGCTCAGGACCAAACATAATAGACATTCGTTATCGCTCTCTCTCTCACACACACTGTCTCTCTCTCTATATATATATATATATATATATATATATATATATATATATATATATATATTAAGACATTTTATGTTTATACATTCTTTTTATAGGTACAAATATTTAAGTAAATCCTCTCTTTATAATAATTAGTATACAACAACATTTACCGGACTGAAAATTTCTCGGCCATTCAGGCCGATAAACGTTGTTTAATACTGTTTACTATAAACATAGCATTTACTTAAATATTTTATCTAAAAAAAGAACGTATAAACAATATATATATATATATATATATATATATATATATATATATATATATATATATATATACTTGAAATTTGATAATTAGTCTGATCTTTGTCTTTTTTTGAATAATGTCGATTGGGTAGCGTATTTGCTTTGTATAATCAAAAGTAGTGTTTTTAATGTTTCGTAAGGTATCCGTCTTTGTTCTTTTTTCTTCTCAGTTTGTTTCCTTTTCAAAAATGTTACCTGTTTATCGTTTAGGTTTTGATATACTGCTTTTTGATTTTTTTATCAAATTGTGTTTTTTTTCAAATACTTCGGTTATATATATATATATATATATATATATATATATATATATATATATATATATATTATATCTTCTGTTTATGTTTTATTTTTATGGATACAACTTATTTGAGTAAATGCCCTGTTCTAATTGCTTTGGAAAATTTGACATTCGCAGAACATAACAAAGACTCAGAGTTAAGCAGCGAGTAACGTAGCTAGCGAGTTTGTGTATATCGACAGCAGACATGTATTGGAAGAGACATTAAAATCACAAATATTTTTTTTAAAGAAATATAGAGAAATTATTTACTGCAAAAAAAGTTTGAACAAAGTAACTATAAACAATTTTTTTCTATCCTCTGTCACCGGCAATGATAGAGAAAGCATTACCTCGAACCATGGCCAGTGAGACACGCTGCAAGAGCCACTCCGTTTCAAGAGGCTCGTCCCTTAATCGAGACGCAATCGCGCCAATCCTCCGAAGGAACGCCATCGAACGAGGGCCAATCATCCCAGAAGTCTCTAATGCCACAGGAGTAAAAGAAAACAAATCTATCAGCAGGATTTCTGTTCTTTGTAGCTCTTAATAAATTTTCTCTATTAGTTATCTCGCCTAAACTCTGTTCTGCCATGTATTGGTACAATCTCGCTGGTAGGCTATACGCTGTTTTTCTGAGTTCCTTTTTGTTTTCAATATCTCCTGTGAGTATCACATTTTGGAAGCCATTTTTGACTGATTATGTGCTCTAGAAATTTCCACTGTTACTGTCCGTTATCAAGTATAATTTTCCTTTTTGTATCCATTTTCTCTAAAACTGAGATGTTCTTTTCAAGATATTCTAAATCGACACCCTGCTGTAGAACGTCATTTCTCTTGTATCATATCACGCCTTCATCTATGAGAAGATTGTCCATCATTCACTACCATATAGAAGAACTCTGAAAATAATATATAACTGACTAGTTGGCAACTGTTGTAGCAAAAACAATAAATAAATAAATAAAAAAAACAACAAGGTTCGGTTGGAAGAAAATTGGTGACTGAACCGGGACACATTTTCTAGAAATAATCAACAAAGAGAAGAATAATAAAACAGGACAATGTTCTCTTTCCCATTCCAGTAAATACTTCGCTAATTGAGACACTTCAATCTTTACTAAATTAGTCCATTATTTGTTCGTTAGACTAAACAATGTTTAAAGAGTAATTATAATTTAGCAACTTCAAAGATGTTAGGCATAGTCTGATTTGAATAGTAAAGATCAATGAATCAACTGAAATTTTATCAAATTAAGACACGATTTGTTATAAAAAAATTAACCTATATTAGCTAAACTGATAGTTTGTGATCCCTAATCAACAATGAGAACAATAGTCTACGAAAACTTATTTTGATAAGAATAAAATGACATATATTTTACCGCATACATTTCATATCGAATCTAGATTTCGGCATACAATATAGAATTTCGTGTCAATCATTCTATTCCTAACTAGAATAGTAGTATACATTTTTACGTACCCTATGGTGCTCCACAAATCCCATTGATTGATTGATTCGTTTTCTACGGCTTATCACTACTTTGCAGGTGATTTAAGGCCAGGAAATATTTTTTGAATTGTTAGAATTTGGGGGTGGGGAGATAATAATAATTTAATGATAAAATTATTACTAATTAACACATATGTGAAAGTGGGGAAGAAGTGAATTCAAAGCTTTCACAAGGATATTTGCGCTTACGTGAATATAACGAACCTAACTGGAATTGGAACTCGGCTTTCCGTTTAATAATTCCGAGCCATTATCCTTCCAAGCTTAGAGTTTCTGGTATTTCCAAGCGGTTACCCATCTAGATACTAACAAGACTCGAAATTGCTTAACATCGGTGATCCTACGAGATTTCAACGTAATCTAGCCGTAAGCTTCGACGAGATCCATTTTTTTGTTTCTCGAAATACATTTGTCTCTTTACTATAACGTTTTGTGTGTGTTGTCATCTATTCACAAAACACTTAGTTAGTTTCTTGCTGTTACCCCTATTATTTCTCTTGCCTTAGATATATTTTTGTTTGTTTGATGCTCCAGACCCTCATCATGTGTCGAAGAAATATCTTCAACTATTTTGTTCTAATTATAAACCTCCTGGATGCTCATACGTTCTGGCCATGTATCTCACAGTTTTCGTCAATATAACAACATCTCTATCGCTTCGGTTCACATGTTCAACTCTGAAGAATTTGTACTGAATTTACTGCCATATAAAAGATTTGATATTACAATATTATATTCTTCGTCTGTTACGTACTGTCTCTCCTTATGACTTGACCGATGATATCTCTCCAGAGTGACCTGTCTTTTGTAACTTTTGACTCTACCGTCCTTGTTCTGTCATCTGTTCACACAAATACGTTATGAAAATTCCTAATTAATCCTATCCCTTTTTGCCTTTCTTTGGTTCTGTCAAATCCCCCTTCTTCATTATGTCCCATGAACTTCGTGACTCTTTCTAGTCGTAAGGATGTGTGCTTTTGATTTCCGTTTTTCTTGAAGCACCATCATTGCTCAGAAAGTTCTATACATTGTATTCTTAGCATTCGTCAGTGGAATTACATCTCTTCGCGTCAGTTCTTCTCTTCAGCTCTCAATTGATTTTCCAATATTCATAGCTACATATGAAATTAGATTTTACAATATTGTATACTACAATATTACTATTATATACAATGATATTTTAAAAAAAAATCTATGACTTCGTAAAACTTTTCTTTGATCTTCAGCAATTAATTAACTCTCACAAAGAAGGTACTTATCACTTTCAATAATTCTCAACTGGCCTTTTTCAGTAGTTCCATTTTCCAAATTTCTTTCCAATTTATTTCCCTTCTTGTCTTTCTAGAACTTTCTTTTAGGCTTTCTACTTCACGTTCCGCTATTATCTTTCCTGTTTTCTACGCTTTATCTGTGACCCCCGACACCTGATCTTTCAACCTACCCACACTTTCTTTACTATTCGACCCACCAGCGACCAGGATCGAAAGACCCCCACAAACACGGCCTCCTCGTTTCCTCGGTCCATATAAGCTCCGAAAGCTTCCATATGACTTTTAAGATGCATTTCTTACGTGGCATCTATTTGTCAGCCAAAGTCCGGGCTCAGTTAGGAACGAAGTGTTTATGGTCGCACAAGTGTGACTTATTGATAGAATATTGTCGACGCGCCAGTGTTTCACGATTCCATAAACTGCTCTAAGGGCCTCGTAAACTACCTCATTACATGGCTGTATGTCCCGTACTTGGTAACTAAAACTGGAGGTAGAGAAAGAGGCAACTCGCCATACCGGCTGGGATGTGCTCTCTAATCTTTCGACTCTTGATTTATGGCCTTGTTTTCTCCTTCATCAACCAAATACCACGTGACCATTATTAATGAACGCAACTTCATTTATCTTTCTTCGCTTATTTTCCACTTATCCTTCGTGTCTCCGTTCGCTTTTGTAATTCTTCCTTTAACTTCTTTTCAATCCATTCTTTATTACATTTTCTTTTCTCTCTATTTTTATATTTATCTTTCCTGGCTTTCGTATTGTTCGGAGATTCACTTGAAAATTCTCGAACCTCCCAATCTGGTGTTATTATTTATTTTCGATATAAATTTACATCTCTAATTCTAACCAAATTCTATTCATATCACATTGCCATTATTAATAGATTTATTTACTTTTATCAGTCTCATATTTATACGTCTTACAAACAGATCTTTTATCATATTTTCTAGTTCATTAAATTCTTCTTCTTCTTCTTTTTCTTCTTTCGTTGTTTGTCTTTTTTAAACATTTGCTTTCTCTTCCTTTAAATTTTCTCTCTGGGTGATTCGATGAAATGTTGACTCATAGTCGGCATTTTTATATGAAACAATCAGTTCATATTAAACAAAAACAATAGAATAATAAATTAAGATAAAAATATGGCCACAAATGCTAATAATAATAATAATAATAATAATAATATTACTTGCATGGCACTTCATTTGTTTGCATCGTTTGATACAAAAACTTTATTATCTCTTGAAGTGTGTGGTTGAGAGTTGCGAGCAACTGATACTACAGAAAACAAAGACAAAACAAATTAATAATAATAATAATAATAATAATAATAATAATAATAATAATAATAATATGGAATCTGTGCCATTGTTATTAGGTCATTTGGAACAATTCTGAATAGTCTTTCAAAAAGATTAGAAGCTCTCGAAATCCGGAGAAAGAATTTAAATCATCCAGATGACAGCATTAAAAGATCACTGCGAATATTGAAAAGAATGCTGGAATAATTAGGAAACTTACACTGTATTTGTAGAAAGTTACTAGAAAACGTAAAGAGTTAAATGCATTTATAATAATAATAATAATAATAATAATAATAATAATAATTATTATTATTATTATTATTATTATTATTATTATTATAATTATTATTATTATTTCTTTCGAGGTTTTTTCATTTTCAACCGAAAGACCTTGAAATATGGCTGTTCCACATTAATTCTTACTGACTCAAACAGAGAGCAAGTTTCACGGACTGATGATTCAGTGCGGAATTTATTATTAAACGGACAGTTATGAGGATTTCTGCAGTTACATAATTTTTGTTTATCTTCATCTCTTTTTATTATTATACTGTCTAAATTTCTTTGGTCTTGGTCTAAGTATTTATTCAAGATATTAGCATATATATATATATATATATATATATATATATATATATATATATATATATATATATATATATATGATATAAGCCCAACACTCAATAATAACTAGAGCAACAGGGTACTGAATAAATCTGTAAGACCATGAAAAACGAGGCAAATAATTTCATCTCCGCAATGGATGGAATTGTAATAGATAGATGATAGAGAATGTTGTGCATAATCATATTGGAACTCGTGGTATTGTCAAAACTAATTATTAAACAGACTGTGACGGTTGAATATGCAAAAAACAATAAAGACTATCCATCAGATTTATTTACTTATAACAACTTTATAATGAGTGTTAGCTTGTTAAAGAGATCCAATCCTCGTTTCCTTGCCTTTACGGAGTTCAAAAGCATTCACGCGGCCTTGTGGGTGATGAATTATTTTCAACGCTACAAATCCAATCCCACAGACAAAACTTTTCAAGCCTCTCGCCACTCTATTTGTATTTTCATAGATCCTCAGCCGAAATATTTTTCTTTGACCTTGCAGTCCATATCTCCCCAGCTAGGAATCACCATGTCACCTACATCTCCATATTTCATTGGGGAGAAGAAAATCCATTCAGGCAACTTTTATTTCAGAACTGCTATATTGTGGAACAAGCAGTAATGAGGATGCTTCTCTGATCACTATGATATTAGTGCAGCGTCAACCGTTATCTATCCTACATATCTACATAATATGCATCTCTTACCTCGTCCTTGTACACACTTTCAAACTCATTTGATCTCGTTTGATTGGCTCTTAGGTTTTAAATTTGTGTAGAGTAGTAAAAAGAGACCAGCTTACACTTGATCTTTTATGTACGATAAATAACCAGTTATTCCTGTAATGAAAGCTCAGTGAATGGTAATATATTAATAATGTTAATAACGAAACCTATTACTAGCAATTACTAAGCAAACAATTATGGTGAAAACCAAAATATAAATTATGTAAAGAATATATTTCGACTATTGAACAGTTTGTGTCAGCTTATCCAGTTTTGATGCCGAAAGAATACAAAGATTGATATAAGATTAGCAGTATACTAATTGGAAAATCCATTACTAGTACTGACCGCCATATAATGAAATATGTCATGACCATCAACTGAAGCAGTCACAGAAAACTATGAGGTCTCTATTCTTTGGGACTTTACCATTCATACTGACAGACAGATAAACGTTACAGACTAGACATTGTGATTAAAGACAACAAATATCTTCCCTTAAATATACCACTGCAATTAGAACAAAATATATGTGTTACAGATTATGACAAAATATATATGGATGTTGAAAATCTAAAAATATATGGCGCCAGAAACTAGAGTTATATCAAAAATATTTGTAGTTCTAGGTATGATCAAAAAAGTACAGATGAGGGCATTAACAAAATCACTGTCAGCCCCTGTTTACAAAAGAATTTTTTAAAATATTGCTCTGTGTGAGAATATTCATCTACTCAGGAGATTATATAAAGAAAATGTTAAGAAAATATAAATGGCGACCAATCTTCCAAGGAATGTTTCCCATGGAAACTCTATTCTCTGAGTAAACCCAAATCCCTATTTAATCTTTTAATGTATAATTTTATTTAAAATATATATTTTAACTCGGACCTGCGGCTTTCTTGTCGGCTGTTAAATGAAGACGCTAAAAGCACGCATCTAAAATCATCAATGCTATGGAAAGGTTGGTTCAAGTGTGCAGCGACAGAAATATTGTTGTTGTTGTCTTTGATGGTGTTTTTATCGCTATTGAACCAAAAAACAGATTATATATATATATATTTAATGAAAAACAGACCACTCTAAAATTACCATTATTATATATATATATATATATATATATATATATATATATATATATATATATATATATATATATATATATATATATGATAAACTCTATGCTGATCCATCACTTTTAGCAAGAAGTTAAAGACAAACTTCTATTTGAAATATTGTTGTTGTTATTATTATTATTTTCTTTTTTTCTTTGATTTCTGGCGTTTACACATTTCTTTCCGGGTCAGGCCCAGGGACCTAAGGTTAGAAATGGCATCATGACACTTTCCACTGACAAAAAAAAAATACATAAAGCCCTTTGTAAAGTGTGGGCTGTACTTGTCAGAACAATTTTTTTGTATCTCTTTGAGGCATTGACTTCCAGGAATCCCTTCAATTAGTCTACTGCAATCTTTTCCAACCAGTCCTAAGGCTCCAACTACAACAGGGATTGTTGATGTTCTCATATGCCACATTTTCGAGATTTCTTTAACAAGGTCCTTGTATTTTGACAGCTTTTTGAATATCTTCAAAGATACATTGCAGTCAACAGGGACTGCTATATCAATAAGGAGGCACTGTTTATTGTTATTATTATTATTAGTAGTAGTAGTAGTATATATAATTATCATTTAACATCAATATCTGTGTAAATATAATGCAAATATTTAGGAAACTACCTTATGGTATTGAACATTGATGCTAGAACACAACTTCTTTTTATACGGTGTGTCCCTTTCCCGGGTGTGGGCGATCAGACGTCATATGTCTTTCTGTCCTGTGTAGTTCTACTAATATTTCTGTCCTTACTATCTATACTATACTTACACTGTCGTCACTATTACAAGATCACGTTCATAGGTGACTCACTGTTTCCCTCCGCTTCTCCAGACTTCTGTGTGTCAAATTTTCCAAGCCCTCTTTTTTTCATTTTATGGCCCAGATGTTGAACTCTTTATGATTTTAAGTACAAGTATCATTTTCGTTCTCATTTTTCTTAAATTGTATTCATAAAATTATTCTTCAGAACAATCACACTGTTGCCTGAATTCCTTTTTTTTTCATTTGGGAGGAAATTTCACATAATTCATTGAAGTATCGAAGGATTGATGTTACATAGCAAAAGAGCATTGTTCTTGTTTCTAACGAAATTTTCTTTTGTTCAGCTATTAGAAGGAACGATTCCATATTTCAGTGCGCTCTTTTTGGTGTCACATTTTCTCAGATAAGTTTTAAAATTTGAGGTTTCCTCTTCGTAGTTCGCGTATCGACACCTCACTCTTGCCACTGACAATAAATTCTGTCTTTTTACAATGGATGGTCATTTCTTGCTTCTAAGTTGTTTTTTTTTTTTTGTTGTCTAGAAACTCCTACGAGATTCTTTCTGTGTGTGCCATCCATATGGAATCATTCCACTTACAAATAATAAATCCTGAGAGATCTTCTATGTCTCTTAAGATCTAGAGGTTAAATATAGTTTAAATAATTTTATAGAGAAGATACATCCTTGTCTTAAATCTTTTTCACTTTTTATTTACCTTCTCAATTCATTTTCAGTATCTATACAGGAGGTGTGATAACAGCAATATCTTTCCCAAATAAATCAAGTTTTACTAGCTGTTCAAATAGATTTTTCAAATTTTACGTAGGCAATGAAACGTAAGTATATATCCTTATAAATTTGTATTACTCGAGTTGAAATAATTCTGATTATAATTGTCGCAGTTTTCCAGTTTCTTTGACCCTGATACATTGATCTTGTTCTATTTCCAGTTTAATTCTGCTACGCTGTCTGTTCATCAGAATATGGATGATAGGCTTAGCTGATTGTGCGTTAGAGTTCGTATTCATTTACACATGACTTCTGAGGCAGCGCTAGGTATATGAATCTACTAAGGTTACCAATATTTTATATTTAATTAAATATTTCTGTATTTTCTGTCTGCAAGCATTTATTCCGAATG